TTACTTGGTTTAAAAATTGTAACCTTACTTTATTGAAAATAAATTGATCGTGTAGATTTTATGTATTGATATATTTGGCACGAGAGTTGTCTGTGCGGTTGTGATAGAGATATGTACACGAGGTGCCGTGAGAATATGAAAGGGGATTGAGACCCGTATTTTATAATTTTTATACAAGAATTATTTATTTGAAGAAATATATTCTGAGGGTATTTATTCGAAAGAATTATATGTGAAAGATTTATATTTGAAGGAATTGTTTAATTGGTTGTACTTGTGTTTCTTATTCGTCTAAGTAATAATTATGGTGTTCTTGCTACCTTGCTGTTCATATCACTAGTTGGTTATTGTTGCTATCACTGCTATTTGTTCCCTATTATTTTTGTATGCTATATTGCACGGGTTATTTAACTAGTGAGTGTCTTGACTGTACCTCGTTACTACTCCACCGGGGTTAGTTTTGATACTTACTGGGTACCGACTGTGGTGTACTCATACTACACTTCTGCATATTTTTGTGCAGAGCCAGGTAAATTGGAGTCAGTTGATCTCTAGCTAGCTATATGGATCTTGCTGTGGAGACTCAAGGTAAACCTGTTGTTGCGTTCGTAGGCTTCGGAGTCACCTTCTGATATTGTTCTTGCACTATTTTATCTCTACTTCAAAACAATTGTATTTATAGGCTTTCTAGTAACTCAGTAGAGCTTATGACTTGTACTACCGATTTTAGGATTGTAAGTATTGTATAGAAATTTCTACTTTGCATTTGTCATCGTTAATTAATATTGTTATTATTTCAGTAAATGTTAGGCTTACCTAGTCCCTAAGATTAGGTGCCATCACGACATCCTACGAAGGGAGATTTGGGTCGTGACAGAATAACATATAAAATCTGTTACGGTGCGTAACCCGATCCCACCGTACAAACACAATCCTCCCTTATTTCACCATATAAATATCATGAATAACATATAAAATCTGTTGTCGCGCGTAACCCGATCCCACCGTATCAATATCAAATCCTCCCTTATCCCACCTGTTGTGGCATACAACCCGATCCTACTGTATTATCATTTATCAATATCATAATCCTCCCTCATTCCACCTGTTGCGGCGTGCAACCCTATCCACAAGCAATTTAAATTAACAACAACAATTCAATAACTCAATTTACAAGAATTTTCTACAATCATAGGGTATGAGTACACAGCGATAAAGGAACCACGTAATAATCAGAGGAATGCAATAAATATTACAAAACAACATGACAAGTTAAGAACGTGAAAACTAAGGTGTGTAAGTACAACAGTTAAGGCAAGTAGCAAATAAGCACGGAGCCATGGAAGAGACTCAACAACTAAGAGGTAATAAGACAGTAAGGAAGGCAATAACTTTAGCTAAAGTATATAAGGGCAAAACAACAAGTAAGAGGTAGAATAAGCACTAACAACGTCAAATAGAGCATGCAAGAGTAGATTAACAATGAGGAATAATACATGCCATGGCAATTCAATTAAAGGCATGAAAAGAGTCTAGATAACCTAAACCGGTCCAATACCATATATAGCATGTGTACCCACTCATCACCTTGCGTACATAACTTTCACATAATACAAAATATCACAATCAACACCAAATCCTAAGGGGTAGTTTCTCTCACACAAAGTTAGGCAAGTTACTTACCTCAAAGAAGCCAAATTAATACTCTAAAATGATCTTCTTTTGTGAAACAGATCTCTGGACGGCTCTATCTAGCCAAAATAACTTAATATCATAAATAAAAAATTATAGGAAAAAATTCCGGACAATAAAGTTTCGATCTCTAATGAAAACTAAAAAGTCAACTCAAAAAGCCAACCTCGGGCCCGCATCTCGAAACTAACAAAATTCACAAAATCCGAACTCTCATTCCGATACGAGTCCAACCATATTAGTTTCACTCATATCCGATTCTGAATCGATGTTAAAAACTCAAAAAATCACATAACATTTTAGACAAAACCCCCTAATTTCTCTTTTGAAATAATCAATCAAATGCCAAAATTGGGGATATATTCATGAAATATAATCAAAACCGAGTATAGAAAACTTACCCCAATCTATATGGTGAAAATCGCCTCAAATATCACTTCAATCCGATCTCCATAGCTCCAAATATGTTAAAATGATCAAAACCCTCGATATATAGCTTCTGTCTAGGCTTTTCGCATCTGCGCAAATCTTAGCCGCTTCTGCGACATGATGTCCGCTTCTACGGAAACAGCTGGAAAATGGCCCCTCGTACTTGCGGAAAAACATTCGCTTCTGCGGCATCGCAAATGCAACAATAGACGCGCATCTGCGCAACATTCCGCTCCTCCGCAAATGATCTCGCTTCTGCGCGCATGCAGGTATGCCTCATTTCTCGCATATGCGGAGTTCCCAAAACCCAACCCTTATGCAGGTACGATCCCTAAACCGCTTCTGCGACCACCGCACCTACGCAAGATCAATTGCAGGTGCGCGACATCAGTACCGACAGCTACCAGCAACGCAAATATGAAGAAAAATAGCCCGAAATCAATCCGAAATACACATCTGAGCCCCTCGGGACCCCGTCTGAACATCCCACAAGTACCATAATATAACACAGACCTACTCGAGGACTCAAATCACATATAATAACATCAAAATCATGAATCACATCTCAAATCGAACTTAATAAACTTTTAAATTTTTAACTTTCAAAACTCGCGCTAAACCATATCAAACCAACTCAGAATTACGTCGAATTTTTCATGCAAGTCCCAAATGAAACAACAGATCTATACTAACTCCCGGAATTAAAATCTGAGTCCGATACCAACAAAGTCAACTCACAGTCAAACTTATGAACATTGAAATCCTTCAAATTGCTAATTTTCGCCAAATAGTATCAAAACCTTCTAGAAATACCCAAATACAAATCTGGCATACGCCCAAGTCCAAAATCTTCATCCGGGCCTACCGAAACTATCTAAACTCCAGTCCGAGATCAAATACTCAAAAGTCAAATTTAGTCAACTCTTCCAATTTCGAGCTTCTCAAGTGGGAGTCCTCCTTCTAAAATTAATTCTGAATCACTCAAATATCAAAGTTGACGATGCACGCAAGTTTCAATACACTATGTGAAGCTACTCATGACCTCAAACTGTCGAACTGGACAAAATTGTTCAAAACGATCGACTGAATCGTTACATAAACGTAGTATGAAAAATGATGCATACTGATATAATATTTGAGAAGCGGATACGGGATTTGGAGCTTCTAGGTGCTACATAGCTTTATGAACGTTCATGTGTTGCTATTTATACATTAAGATAAAGTAAATATTTGTCGGTTTGAGCAACTTTGGACTTCGGTTCGAATTACTTGTCTTTTTGGTATATAATATAAATAGATTAAACAGAAAATATAGTATTATAGTTATGATAGAGTGAAGATTTACAAAAGAAAATATTATTTTAACTTAGTGTAAAAAATAAATATTTAACTTATAAGAGACACAAAAGAGAGTCAAAAGTTAACAATAAGGTAAGATAGTTAATAATAATTACAGTAGCAGAAGAAGAAAATAGAGAATGAAATATATAGAATGATAGAAAGCTTAACGTGATGTAGCAAGTCAAAGGGGTTCAAAAGCTATTGCCAGTGAGGTTTGATCCTCTACAATTAAGGTGGAATCTTCTACCCTTTATCACTGGCACCTTTGTATCATTTGTTATTGTGGATGANTATATAAGTTTAGACCGAAGCTTACGAGTGGCGTACCACCCCTCAGCAATGGCGGATGCAGAGTATAGTAAGTAGGTTCCCGGAAATCTAGTAACTTTTGTGGAGACCCTGTATTTTTATTAAAAATCCATTAAATATCTATAAATATATAATTGTGAACCCAATTATTATATATTAATTTGAGTTTACAATACGAACTCATAAACTTCAAATCCTGGATCCGCCTCTGCCCCTCGGCCCTACTAGATCAGCCCATGCCTAAACTAACACATTATTGGATTTGTTTTACGGAATAACCATTGTTTTCGTTCCATGTGAAAATTATTTTCTTATTAGCCAGTTTTTAATAGGATAACATCTTATTATATTTAAAGATAATCTAATTTTAGATTATATATTTTTTATGACATCTTTTTATATTATACCCTAAATCTCATAATATATGTAAGACTATTAGTTTCAGAAAAAAAATCGTTCTAAAATTTTGATTATCAACAACTTACACTACATAAATTAAAATAGAATAAGTGCATTAGAGCTCTTCTTAGAGATGTTTTTGCGTTCAAATATGATATATTCACTTTCAGAAATATGAAGTTTTAGTTAAAAAAAATAAAATAACTATCAACAACTTGACTTCCATTCGATACATCCGTTATGATTATCTCATACATGACGATCGAAACAAAAACGCACCAATAAATCCAAAAGCAAAAGCCTTCGGAACTAAGGTTCAAGAGTTAAAATGCGTTATTCAAAGAAAAATGGAAAAGGATAATAGTAGTTTCATAATATTTAATTACATAAAAGTCATTAATGTTTGCATTAGAGTAACGCGCTCTTTTCGGAGCCTTCCTTTTTCTATAGGCTTTCTTGAAGGTAGTAGTATAAGGGTGGGATGTAGTGTTCTATTGACGAGTTTAATTGAATCCATAATTTTTGACGCAAAATAAAAAAATATTTATAAAAAATTATTAAAATTATAAATAATAGATATGAACCTATAATTTTATAAATATGATAGATTTCGTGCTAAAAAAATCTTAAAGATTGAACCCATAGAATTTAAATCTTGAATCTGCGGTAGCTTACTACCCTCACAATAAAACACTAACCTTCTTTACTTTTCCTATTTCTTAATGTGTACGAAACATAAAATAATAAGTTGCACCAACTGAATTTTAAATTCTGAATCTGTTTAAAAACAAATCTCTGCTACATATTACATGCACTCAATGGTTCATAACTATATTAGTATTGTGCACTCTGATTCTAAATTTTGAATCCGTTTGTGTAAAAGTTGCATTTCGCTTTAGCATTCATTAGTTTCAAATTCTTAATCTAAACTTTCATTGTAGTCTGCACTCGTTTCATAAATATCATTCAACTGAGAGAGAGAGAGAGATTGTAGTGATGGAAGGAGGTGAGAGTTCGGTGGGAGATTTCGTGCCTGCGATGAAATCGGAGAATTTAAGTTCCGGCGAATTAGCACCAGGGACGGCGGCGGCGAAATCGGAGCAATTGTTAGCTTTGCCACCTCCATTGGCGGCGACGGCGGAGAACGAAGAGGACAAAGAGATGATGTGTCCGATATGCATGCAAATTATGAAAGACGTGTTCCTCACGGCGTGTGGACACAGCTTCTGCTACATGTGCATTGTCACTCATCTCCACAACAAAAGAGCTTGTCCCTGTTGCTCTGTTTACTTAACTGTTAAGCAGCTTTATCCTAATTTCCTCCTCAATAAGGTAACTTTTCATCTTTAATTCCCCTATTTATATCCATGCTTGTTTTAAGTTATTTTTTAAATTTTAAGTTCTATGCACTCACTGTGTAACTACTAGTTATATAATCAAGTCACTCGTTAGTTAAGTACGGATAAATCTCTTGACAAGTATTAATTGGTAATTTGGTAAAAATTGTAGCTAATATGCTATTATAAGTAAAAATTCATTGTAAAAAGTGTGCATTGTCAGTGTATATAACTGATAAGTCACATAATTAGGCCACTTATTGGGCAATTACAGATAAATTTTGTGACAAATATTAATTGGTAATATGATAAAATGGTAGCTAATACGCTATTAAAGGTTAAATTTCACTGTAAAAAAATATGTGCGTTGTCAGTGTATAAAACTTAAATCTTTTTTTATATTTGTTAAATTGTTGCGTTTGTTTGATGGTTCCTATATACAAGAACAAAGGTGATATCCAAAATTGCAATAACTATCGGGGTATCAAGCTGCTTAGCCATACTATAGAAGTCTGGGAAAGAGTGGTAGAGCTAAGGGTGAGGAGGAGTGTGTCTATTTCCGCGAACCAGTTTGGGTTTATGCCGGACGTTCGACAACAGAAGCCATCCACCTTGTTAGGAGATTGATGGAGCAGTATAGGGAGAGAAAGAAGGACTTGCATATGGTGTTCATCGACTTAGAAAAGGCGTACGATAAAGTTCCGAGAGAGATTTTGTGGAGATGTTTGGAGGCTAGATGTGTACCTGTTGCTTTCGTTAGGTTGATTAAGGACATGTATGATGGAGTAAACACCCGAGTGAGGACGGTGGGTGGGGACTCGAACCATTTTCCGGTTATGATGTGGTTGCATCAAGGGTCGACACTCATCCCTTTTTTGTTTGCTCTGACGATGGACGTACTGACGCGCCACATCCAAGGGGAGGTCCCGTGGTGCTTGTTATTTGCAGATGATATTGTATTGATTGACAAGACGCGAGACGGTATGAACGCGCAATTAGAGGTTTGGAGGCACACCTTCGAATCTAAAGGTTTCAAGTTGAGCGGGACCAAGACAGAAGTGGAAGGGGCGAGACTCGAGGAGGGGAAGGGGAAGGAAAGGAGAGGTGAGACTTGACTCGCAGGTCATCACTATGAGAGGCAGTTTTAAGTACCTTGGGTCGGGAATGGGGAGATTGATGAAGATGTCACACATCGTATTGGGGCAGGATGGATGAAATGGAGACTCACTTCCGGTGTTTTGTGTGACAAGAAGGTGCCACCGAAACTTAAGGGCAAGTTCTACAGAGTGGTGGTCAGACCAACAATGTTGTATGGGGCTGAGTGTTGGCCAGTCGAGATCCTTCATGTCCAATAGATGAAGGTAACAGAGATGAGGATGTTGTGATGGATATAAGGGCACACCAGGTTAGATAGGATCAGAAATGAGGTTATTCGCGATAAGGTGGGTGTGGCCCCTATTGAGGACAAGATGCGGGAAGTGCGGCTTAGGTGGTTTGGTCATGTGAGGAGGTGTGAGAGGTTGTCGTTGGAGGGCCTACGGAGAGGTAGAGGTAGGCCAAAGAAGAGGTGGGGAAAGGTGATTAGGCAGGACATGACGCAACTTCAGCTGACCGAGGACATGACCAAGGTATGGAGATCGAGGATTAGGGTAGTAGAGTAGGTAGTCTAGAGTGTTTATAACAGTAGTATTGGCACGCAGTCTCGCTTTCTGTTGGTAGTAGGTTTTTATGACTAACCGTTGTTTGCTTTTATTTTGATTACCTTACTATCTTGTTGTTTTTATTCTGCTTTTATATGGCTTTATGGCACTGTCCCTTTGTGTCTATATTTTCATTAATGTGGTGCTTATACTTTCCTGAGCCGAGGGTCTATTGGAAACAGCATCTCTATCCTCACAAAATAGGGGTAAGGTCTGCGTACACACTACCCTCTCCGGACCCCACAATGTGGGATAATACTGGGTATGTTGTTGTTTTTGTTGCTTTTGTTTGAAATGTACGTAGGAGGGAAGACAGGAAATATGTTGTGGAAGAGGTTTATTCATTCAGTTGACAGCGATCAAATTTTTAATTCCTTTCTACATTAGTTGGTACTTGGAAGAATTTCTCGGGGCCTTGCTCGTGCTTTTCTTATTCGGTGTGGGGGGACTCAGGGGAGGGAGGGGGTGGGGTGGAGAAAATCGCTAATTGTTTCCTTTTATCTTTATGTTTTTTCTGGTAGGAGTGTGTGGTAGAGTAAGTGCTGAATGAAGGCTATTTAAGTTAAAATCTCAGCTCAACTGTCTCAATTCTAAACTAGTTGGGGCAGGTTGTTTTGAATTCTCTCTATTCATTTCTCTCAACTTCTCTTTATTCATTGGATTCGTTACTCCTAATTTAATTATCTTTATAGTAGCCATCAATTTACTGCAGCACTCTTCCTTTATTTGGTTTTTGGGATCTGTCATACTTTACGAGTTCAATCCAATATTTGAAAACCTATTATAAGTGATTGATAGAATGATATTAAGCAAATATTAGTTTGTCGCTATGAAGAAATCCATAAGGAGTTGCGATGCTGGCTTCCGTATTGTAAGGTAAGACTTCTATGAACAAGTAGTGCAGGAATTGATCACTGCACTTCAAAGCTGGGAATAGAGGTAACTGTTTCCTATATTGTGATCAAATGCTCTATATGGATCTTAAGCAAGTATTCATGGAGAAATTTGTTTTTCAGAATTTACATTGAGATTCACTTGAATTGGTGAATAGTTTATGGAAGTCTTTCATATAAACTCTCTAAAGATGTAAGTTTTTTTCCCCTGGTTAAATGCTTTCTCTCAAAACTCTGAATAGCTCAATGTTTGAGATGATGTGAGAACTTCATTGATTCTCCTTTATTGTATTTCAGTTCCATTTTTTTTCTTTTTTCTTCTCACTGCTCCTTCCTTTCTTGTACTTTTTCTTTCTGTTTCATGCTCAACACTTCACCGTTTACTGGTTTATTGTTGATTAATTACATCGCTCATAGGTTATCCATCTGTCGATCAAAGTTGTGTTGATGTGCTTTATTGTGCAGTTATTGATGAAGACCTCTGCTCTCCAAATAGCCAGAAGGGCCACACCTTTGGAACAACTTTCTCAAGCAATACAGCAGGTCAGATATTATGCTCTGCGTTAGACGAGCTTTTTTATTTTTCATAGTAAAGTGAACAGCTTATAGCAGATTATTTATTGTGATGATGATGAATTGCAGTTTCTGATGTTAGTGGAACTTTTAATAAAAGGGCAGGGAGGGTAGAGTATGTCTCTTTCTCAAAAAAGAGGTAGCATATGTTTCATCTACATTCTGTCTATTTGCAAGAGGAAAAGTGATATGACAGGATGTAGTTATTTGGACATACATAACATGTGGGAACTTAGTTATTTTGTGTTGATAGTTCCTTTTGGTCCAAGGTTAGAGATTTGAATGACGTTAATTTTACATTTCTTGCACCACAACTTGTCCATGGAAAAGAGTAGCCGTTCTCTTTTTCCCATTATTTTTCTTACAATTTAACTTAGCTTTTTAAACTTGTTTCGGAAAGAGAACAATTATGAAAATCTTGTCGAGTGCATGTTGTTTATATTTTTTTGTGAAAATCTTAGATGACAGTGTCTGAGTCTGCTATATCTAATAAAGGAACAGAACTCATTTTGCAAGAACTGCAAAGTTATGTGTTCCAATACAACTACAGTTGCCGTTTGTACTGAAAGCTTGAGTCTTTTATTTTCGGAACTTTTCTGGGGTGGAGGAGGGGTAGACAGAAGAGCGAAGGACCTTTTGAGGGATTAGAACCCTGCACCCAAATGGTGCAGGGTGGAGGGTGCAGGGTGGAGTTACTTAGGTTCAGGGTGGAGTTACAAATACCCGAGGCGTATCCATGATTTAAGCTCTATGAGTTTAATCTTTAAAGTTCTTAGCATTGAACCTATTGTATTTTTAAAATTATGAGTTCAGACTTATTAGTTATTGTAATTTAAATAAATTTTTACACATAAATTTATTCTGTGTCGAAAGTACTAGGTGCTATAAGGCTGCATCCACCTCTGACAACCTCTAGGCTGCAACTCCAACCCCAGAACTGTGTGTCCATTTAAGTAATTTTGTTGAAGAATATTCTTAACTTGTGACAAGATGTTTGTTTGTGCCTTGTATTTTTCTCGCAATTGCCATCTCATACTTAGATGATTTTCCTTTTGACAGTCTTTGTCTTGCCTGGATACCCATTTATCTTCTGGGGACTTCTCATTCTGATTCTTAACAGGGATGCGAGGTGTCTGTTAAAGAGCTTGAAAGCCTCTTATCACTTCTTATGGACAAGAAAAGGAAAATGGAGCAAGAAGAAGCTGAATCAAGTCTCCAGATTATGCTTGAGTTTCTCCAGTTGTTGAGGAAGCGAAAGGTTGAAGAGCTTAATGAGGTTTGTCTTGAACTTATATCTATTGTGGTTTTTAGTTTTGTAATTATTTATTCTGTCGTGGACAATTTGGTTCTTTCTTCTATTTATTTTTTGATTTCATGCGGTTAGGACTTGGGTTTATTTTGTACAAATTCTCTTTGTAGACTAAATGGAGAAAGGCATATTCCGTTAATATTACTATGGAAATTTGGGAAGTTGATAGATACTTGAGACCTGCTTTTTCCCTTAGATGTGACATGAAAATTTAATCGACATGAATTGCGAATTGCTTCATAAGAAGCTTGGGCAATGTTTGTTGCGGAAGCCAAATGTATATAGTGTGAATGAGTCACAATTACTATACCAAAAATTATG